TGCAATTTGAAAGCACCGAGCCAATTTATCAGTAGCCAGCAGAGATCAGATTCAGATGGTCAGCATTCTAGAAGGGCACAGTATAACAGAAAACAGCGACTGTAAACCGTGAACATGTGTGCCGGTTTTGGTTCGCGATTTGGGAGCACGGACGAATGTGCACCTGGAAATATTCACGATTGTAGTCAAGTTCATTCACCATGACTAAAGTTCCACGCATTGCACGGCTTTTTTTTTGCGATTTCACACCCACCGTGAAAACAGTGAAAGTTTCCAGATCGCAAAGGATTGCCGTTTGCACTTGAGTACTCTAGAACTGACCTGGGAGCAAGCAAAGTTGAGCTCTGGGTAATCTTCCATTAGGCGTAGTGTTGACGCAAAGCTGCGCGCGCACTTGCGAACCGTTTCCTCGTAGGTCCAGAGCCAGGCTAATCATAATGAACATGCATACACGCACGCGCACGCACGTACACGTCCACACACACACGCGCGCACACACACACACACACACACACACACGTACGCGCACACACACACGCTCATGCACACACACCAAAAAACAGCATGCGATACACCATACAGTCAAGCTCAAGATTCCAATTCAGCCGTACAATTCAGCCATAATTCAGCCATTCCATTCTCGATATGGAAGAGAAACAGACCCTACATGCAGAAGATGTTTTTTCTTCTTCTTCTTTTTTTCGTTTGCTCACCACAATCGATGTGACAATTGGCCATGGAGGCGATGGTCAGCTGGCTGTCTCCGTTGTGCTGGTTGAAAAACTGGCGTGCAATCTCGTGGCACCTGGCAAAGGAACACACAAGCAGACGTTGAGGACAGAAGCCAGAAAATCGATACTGGCTTCCTGGGCAAATTGTAAACCATGGGAAAAGGCCGGAAACCTGGCCGATATTCTAACTCCTTAACGGTTGGTCCAATTGTTCCGAAACCTTCACAGAACAATTTGCCGTGTCCTAACAAGCCATTCTATGTACTTTGTTGTCCAAATTTCCCTTATCTTCATACTTTTTAAGACCCAAACCTGATTGTAAATCTTTTTGAAACAGACTATAGTACTAGTACCGAAATGTTCGGTGCGTTTTATTTTCGGTAAAAATTGTCGGCACCAAAGTTACTGAAAAAAACACCACCAAAAATGTCTGCTTTTACAGTAGAGGGGAACTCACTTAGTAAGTACCCTGATACGACACACATGTAGTCTTAAGTTGCTTAGTACGGACATTGTCAGGGGCATAAATTAATTGGCTCACCAAGCCGAGTTCAAAATTGTCAGGAGCACTGGTGTATTCATTGATACTGAAGTATGTCAAGACCTCTTGGTCCTAGTCGTAGTCGTAGTGGTCCTCTGGGACAGGTGGTCACCGTATCGGAGCGGTCACCTCGGCAGGTTTTAATTTATATGCAGCGGCTCACCCGCGCGTAGACTGCTGTACATGAAAAAATAAGAACGGCCTACGCTACGACGCTCAAACGTTGATAACACAACGTTCGAATGCCCAACGCAATGTTTGAATGCAACCTCTCTGAGGAGGTCACATGGTGTTTATTGGTAGTTGATTACACAATGTTTGAAACTTTGAATGCAATGTTTCTGAGGCGGTCAAGCATGGCTTACCGCTTGTAACTGTCGCGATCGCCGACGCGACACGCGTTGACGATCTCATTAGCAGTGTAGAGCGCCTGATACGATCGCGGCCACTTGTCGTCCATCTTGCTTGCCATGGCAACCAGCAGCTCCAGGTCGTAGTAGAGTGCGGCGCAGTCTGGGTCGTAGACGGCCAGCTCGCACTGGGCCAGGGTGAACGTCCGATTGGGGTCGGGTGGGTTGATCATGCCTGCGTGACCGGCACCCATGATGGGATTGCACGCCATCTCAATGTGAAATACGTACCTACCCGCATGGGGGGACACACGCATACACACATGCGTACAAACACACACACACATACACATGTACACACTCATACATGCACACACGTCCACACGCGCACACACACACACATACACACACACACACACACACACACACACACACACACACACACACCAATACTTTACATCGAATAGTAGCACCAGAGTGGAAACACTAACCACACGCAGAAACAAGCTGAAGAGAAACAAACTGCTTGACATTTCACTCCAACACAGCTAGAGCATCCACCTTTGTCCAGCCACTGCCGATCGAGAGAGGATAAAGTCTGTGCGCTCCTGTCCACCAAGCTCCGTTAGACCCTGGAAATTAGTCACGGGTGAGAGCAAGCACAAACAAACAAGAATAACTTATAGAAAAGAAAAAGGCCAGAAAACTACAAGTTACGCTATAATAGCCACTAACACCACCAGTTACTAAACAATCAGCTCATGCGATAACATTGCAGGACACTGACCGACGGTACTGACGTTATACAACAAAGTTAGTGGACATTATAGCGTAACTTGTAGTTCCTTGGTCATTTTTCTTTTGTATAAATTCAACCTTGGCTCTCCATCCGAGTCCAAACAAGAAGAATACTGAACAATACACTGCATACTCTAACTGCATTATTGGCATGCCAAAATGTCGCGTATAAAAGCATGACCCATACAGAAGCACGACTCGAATAGAAGCCACTACGAAGTATTTCGAAGCGTCCCGTGACACAGAAGCACGATTTGAATGGAAGCCGCGCTTCTTTCCGAGCCAAGATGGTGCAACTCAAAGTACACCATAATTACAGTACAGTGCAAAGTACACAAGCAAGTACCGTTAAACATGCAATTTTCGGTGTAACTTTAATTTCGGTGATTTCGGTAGAGAAAACAGGCACCCAAATTTAAATTACACCTAAAAGGCACTAGAGTATGCGCTGAGTCTGTACGTGAAGGGAATACTGGTCACTTAATTTTACATTACACCTGAAACCTGGCAGGTTCCTGGCCCCGACATTTTAATGCTCCTAAAATTACATGTTTTACAGCACTTGCTAGCACAGTGCATGTACACGCGTGACATTACTGGAATGCTTGGATGCTGAAGTAGAAGCATATTTCAAATAGAAGCACAACTTGAATAGAAGCATGGTTTGAACCCCGCCTTTTACGGCCGTAACCAGCTGCTTGTATAACGCGACATTACAGTACTGTAAAACCAGAAATTTCCGGTGGTAATTTATTTTCGGTAACTCCGGTGCCGACAAATTTCACCTAAAATAAAACTCATTGAAAACATGCACATGCATGCCGACTGCAGTACGGAAAATTGGTTTACTGAAATTTTCGTGCTACCGAATCGTTGGTTTTGGGAAATACCGAAAATAATATTATTACAGCACTGAGAATTCCCGATTTTACAGTACATACCGGACACCTCACCCGAGGTACTGGTAAGCACGTCGGAAAGTTTTTTTATAGCCAACCGCGGCTACCCCCTCCCCTCACTCAGACACAGGCATGGCTTGCTGCTGCGTCTTGGCAAAAGCACGGTCAAAAAGTTCTAGCTGATTGCTATGCGTGTCACGACTGGGCTAGAGGTCAAACTCACCTGTAGTGGCTCATTCTCAGTGCTGTACACCTGAAGTGGCAGAAACAACAAAGACGATGACAACGACGACCACCACCACCGCCACAAGGACAACGACAATGACGGCAGCGGCAGCAGCAACAGCACCAGCAACGACGACGACGACAACAACAACAACAACAACAACAACAACAACAACAACAAAAGTGTGTAAGTAGGAGTAGGTATGGATGCTTACCTGGAGTACATGACCCCAATCATGGAGCGCAACACTAATACTGCTGCCCGAAACGCCGAGCCACAGTGGAAATCGCTTACCCGAGAAGATACGAAGGCCAACACCGTAGCGTTGCGAAATCCGATGCTCCTATTATTTGCACCCGCTGTTGTCTCTGGTCTTGCTGTTCTGCCTGGTCCGATGTCCTATATGGTCTTAAGGGCGTATGGGTATGGTGTGATGTGTGACGTTTATGGTATGTGCTGCATGCAAGAGTACGCGTTGTCAGATCGTAAGAATCTGCTTCCGTCCGTGTGAGAGTGCTTGTCTACTAGTTGCCGCGCATGCGTAGGTTACGCGGAGCATGCGCTGCCAGGGTAAGGTTTGGGTATGAGGGAGAGGTGTGATTCGTCCACGGTGCCGTTGTCTTGGTTCTTGCCACGTGCATCGTACGTACTGGTTGCTCATTGGTCGTTTCGGTCTGTTCGCCCTTTATCCTGTTTATAGCTGTTAGTCGTTTTATGATTTCGTTGTCTTTTTCCCCCGCTCTCTCTCTCTCTCTCGCCAGTTACCTTGTATTGAGTAACTCGAAGAACACCAGTTGTAACCAATGAGTCAGAGAGTCAGTCGTTCTGTTGAGGGGCCGGGGGAGAAAGTACCAGTTTCATAAGTGAGTGAGCAGGAGTAGGAAGCAGATTTTGGTGTTTCGAGTTTTTCCTTAGATTTCTGAGTGTTGAGGCTTAAGTTGTTTCATCCTCATAATGGAGACATCGAAAGTCGCTGAAGCGTCAGAGCAGTGTCGAGAAAGGCGGAAGTGGTTGCTACCAGACCCCAACCATGGAGCACAGCACTAATACTGCCGCCCGAAACGCCGAGCCACGGTGGAAATCGCTCACCCGAGAAGGTATGAAGGCCAACACTGTAGTGTTCACCAGTCACGCCGGCCTGAAGATCGTGGATGTCGCCGAGGCCCTTGTAACCCAAGGGTACACGGACGTCGCCTCCGTCCAAATCAACAACGCCAACATAACGAAGGTAACTGTTATCTGCTACTCAGACTGATGCACTGATAGAGCACGGGTTTTCAATCGGCGATAGCTATTTCTCTGTACGCCCTGAAAAAGAACATATTCTCTTCTCCAACTTTTCCACCATTACATATTTTCCAACTCTCTCCATTCCTTGTTGTGGCCTGGTGAACGAGTGTACTGGAGTGCTGGCTGGATGGGACAGAGTGCTGTGGCAATTGAGTAACAATGTGGCCCTGCATTCACCAAACAGCTGCAACTACATATATTCGACGTTCCCATCTGGATTGAGGACAGCGTTATCTGCAATGCATTGGCTGCATTTGGCCAGATCCGCAGAGACATCCGCCATGGGAAAATTCAAACCCCATCGGGGATTACAGTAGGCACAGGGATGCGCTTCGCCACCATCGAGTTGAAGGAGGGATGTCGGCAAGCGCCGTCATTTGTCCGCACAGCGAACCAGCACCAGTTCCGTGTCCGTCACAAGGACCAGAGGGCTACCTGCAGGATCTGCATGGGGGAGCACTTTGCTTGATCGCGTCCGAGCAAACGGCCCACCCGTTCGTGCTCCAATCTCCCAACGAAATATCGCTCGTCGCTGTCCTGGAAACTTGGGCTGGCTGATCAGACTTCGACAGTCTCCATACAATCCTTGGACTTTGGCTCTCTAGAGCTGACCGGCAGGGCTTTGGAGGCGGTGTTGCTCTCTACACTGCCGACCACTTCACCACAAGGGTACTAAAAACACCAATGAAAGAAGCGGAAAGCGTATGGACGAAAATTTCCACTGACAAACATTCCCTTGTTGTCGCACCCATATATCGACAGTCTCGTAGTGATGTCACCCTCTTCTGTGTGGAGCTTGAAAGCAGCACTCAAACCGCTAGGGCCGAAGGTGACCATGTCCACCTACTTGGTGACTTCATTGCCAAGAATAGTGTGTGACTCGATACAGATGGGACAGATCGCCTTGGGGACGACATGCAAACTCTTCTCCTTACATATGGCCTTACACAACATGTCATGTTCCACACCTACATCCATTGTCATGTTCCACGCCTACATCCATCGACAAACACCACCCCTCTCCTGCCTAGATCTTGTTATTTCCTCACTCCGCAGCAACTACGGTCAAACATGTATTACTGTAAATATACAAAATTTCGGCGTTGCAAAATTTCGGCACTTCACGATTTTTGACATTTCGGCGGCGATTTATTTTCGGCGTGGGGTAGAGGGCATGGTATTGCGACAAATGCTGTGAAAAATTTCATCGGCGTTTTAATTTAGGCGTTTTGGGTCGGTGCCGAATATAGCCGAAATTAAATAGCTGCCGAAAATTTGTATATTTACAGTATACAATAACTGCTCGTAGAACTGTGACAATTCTATTGAACCGGAGCAGGTAGTAAGACATCCGCATGATGCATTTTACATTACACAGTCAGACCTCGCTTATCCAATCAGACCTCGCTTATCCAATCAGACCTCGCTTATCCAATCAGACCTCGCTTATCCAATCAGACCTCGCTTATATAGTCAGACCTCGCTTATACAGTCAGACCTCGCTTATATAGTCAGACCTCGCTTATACAGTCAGACCTCGCTTATATAGTCAGACCTCGCTTATACAGTCAGACCTCGCTTATATAGTCAGACCTCGCTTATACAGTCAGACCTCGCTTATACAGTCAGACCTCGCTTATACAGTCAGACCTCGCTTATACAGTCAGACCTCGCTTATACAGTCAGACCTCGCTTATATAGTCAGACCTCGCTTATACAGTCAGACCTCGCTTATCCAATCAGACCTCGCTTATCCAATCAGACCTCGCTTATCCAATCAGACCTCGCTTATCCAATCAGACCTCGCTTATACAGTCAGACCTCGCTTATACAGTCAGACCTCGCTTATACAGTCAGACCTCGCTTATACAGTCAGACCTCGCTTATCCAGTCCTCTTCTATCCGGATCCCTCGCCATCCGGAAGAACATAGCTGGTTACAGATTTACAGCATACGTGGTGCATCCAACATAACCAGTGTTCGGTTATCCAGTTCCCTCGCCTATCCGGATATTTTTAATGGAAAACGGATGTGTGCGGTTAAGCGAGGTCTGAGTGTAGAACTGCAACGGTGTACAGTGTTGTTTTACCGGTGCGCTACTGTAAAACGGATAATTTTCGTGACGGTGATATTTTAGCGACTTTAGCGAAAGGGGTGTTTCCGCTAAAGTTTTCCAGCGCCAATCGAAATGTTGCATGTACAGTACTCTTCAAAGTCTGAAACTCGGATCGCTAAAATATTTCATCGTGAATTGGTCCAGATCCAGAAAACGCTAAAACTTGTACCCGCTAAAATTAGCCATTCTACAGTATTGTGATAAGTATAGTATTTCACCCTCCTATTCTGATTGAGCACCCCCCCCCCCCGCCCGTGAAAAAGTGGCACCCCATCCTCGTTTTGATGATATTGTGTTTTTTTCATGATATTCAACGAAAATGCTAGAGGGTTCATAAATGCACACTTGTCTGGGGCGAAGTCGGGAATTCACCCCGGACGTTGCAATTGCATGTCAAGACAATTTCGGAAAATGGGTTACGGGGTGACTGTTTCCCATGCCCGCCTGCCCTGCTATTTTGACCTAGCTAGTACCCTGAGACACAGTACGTAACTATGGGAGAGAGCAGAGCTCTCAAATACGCCAGAGTGCATGTACTACGGCGAAGAAGACTGGACGCGTGGACAATTCTCCAGGTGGGCCAAAGTTACAGTACATACGCGTTATGCAAGGCGCATGCACTACAGCGAAGAATGCAGGGTGCATGGAGAAATCTCCAGGAGTCCTAAAGTTTCAGTACATACGAGTGATGCAGGGTGCATGGAGAAATCTCCAGGAGTCCTAAAGTTTCAGTACATACGAGTGATGCAGGGTGCATGGAGAAATCTCCAGGAGTCCTAAAGTTTCAGTACATACGAGTGATGCAGGATGCATGGAGAAATCTCCAGGAGTCCTAAAGTTTCAGTACATACGAGTGATGCAGGATGCATGGAGAAATCTCCAGGAGTCCTAAAGTTTCAGTACATACGAGTGATGCAGGGTGCATGGAGAAATCTCCAGGAGTCCTAAAGTTTCAGTACATACGAGTGATGCAGGGTGCATGGAGAAACCTCCAGGAGTCCTAAAGTTTCAGTACATACGAGTGATGCAGGGTGCATGGAGAAATCTCCAGGAGTCCTAAAGTTTCAGTACATACGAGTGATGCAGGATGCATGGAGAAATCTCCAGGAGTCCTAAAGTTTCAGTACATACGAGTGATGCAGGGTGCATGGAGAAATCTCCAGGAGTCCTAAAGTTTCAGTACATACGAGTGATGCAGGGTGCATGGAGAAATCTCCAGGAGTCCTAAAGTTTCAGTACATACGAGTGATGCAGGGTGCATGGAGAAATCTCCAGGAGTCCTAAAGTTTCAGTACATACGAGTGATGCAGGGTGCATGGACAATTCTCCAAGTGTACTCAAGTTACAGTACATACGCGTGATGCAAAGCACATGCGCATGCACTATGGAGAAGAAGACTGGGCACGTCAAGAATTCTCCAGGTGTACTGCACTAGATACGCATGACACAGAGTACTGGTTTGACTCTCGAACTCTCACAGCATATTTTTTAATTTTTCATTATTTTATTTAGACATCTCCTAGACAACATCTCCTAGCACGTCAAAAGACGGCCAATTAATCTGTTGAGATGAAGGGTGAGAGCCAACCATGGCAGAGTAGATTTCCCAACCATACCTGTACTCTCCATAAGAAGACTAGACTACTGAAGTAGAAATTCCCCTTCCATATTAATGGACACATCGCAGCCTTGGGACTGCAAAGTAAAATACTACCACACCCGCCGAGCCAGCCAATACAAAGCAGACAACTACGGTATGTCATGTCATTTTCGGTGAAACTTTATTTTCGGTAATTTCGGTAGAGAAACCAGGCACCTAAATTTAGATTACTGTAGAGGCAGAAAATTTCGTCGGTCAATAATTTCGTCCAACTCCAAAGAAAGGGAGTTCGTCCGGTTGAAAATTTCGTCCATGGATCACAAGAGTGTATAGAATAGCTGGACAAATTGACATTCGTCCGGCATTTAATTTTGTCCAAAAATTCCTTGGACGAAAAAGACGAAATTAAATTCCAGACGAATATTTCTGCTTATACAGTACACCAAAAGGGCAAAGGAGTATGTACTGCATGTGAAGGGAATGTTGGGTACCTAATTCTACATTACACCTGAAACCTGGCAGGTGCGTGACACCGAAATCTGAATACACCTAAAATCCCATGTTATACAGTATGTGGATAAGACCTACCATAGCCTCGCACCCTGTGTTCCAACGCAGGCGAACTTGCTGGCCGGCAAACCTCTCCGGCACCTCGGCCGTGACGCGGAACCAATGTGTCGCCCATCTGAATGCAACAAGGAGCACAGCAATACATACACGCACACGCATGCATGCATGCACGCACGCATGAACGCACGCACACACACGCACACACACACACACGCACGCACACACACACAAACCAGAAGAAGAAAAAAATTACAAAAGCACCTCACCAGCACCTTTGATACACCATACCTTGCACTCCCTGCATGCAAGTTCTTGTTTCATTCTCAGATGACCCGAGGGTTGTAACTTGTAGGTCGGTGTGTTTTCAAGAATAAATTGACCACACAAAAGTTCAAAAGTAAAAAAAAAATACAAATCACATTATGGTGAAAAACGAGAAGGACAAAATGTTACGAGTTATGGCTAACTGCCCACCATTTTGTCCTCCTTTTTCACTACAATTTAATTGGCTCGCCATCCGAGTTCAACAAATCACATTGACAAGACCTGATTACGCCAGTCCCGGTCTACTGTGTGTATCGCCCAACAGACTTCAGGCTGCAAGTATCCAATGGTGTCCCCTGGACACACAGAAGACTCAGCTCAGCAACCGTACTCACGTCGGGCCAAACGAGTCGCCGACCTTCACTTCACCGCGGCCTCCCGTGGCCTGAGCCGGCGATAGGTACCGTCCGCTGCTACCATAGTGATGTATCTCCTCCACCGGCTGCGTGTCGGGATAGAGCCTGGTAACGGACAACAGAACACAACATCACAAAAGCACACACGCTCTAGATACAACGCAAGGGCATCGGACACGGTACGGTCACTACGGTATTGACCGTACCACTTTTCGCCCCAGGTACCCCGTGAATCAATAAGATACACTGATCTGGGCTCTAAATGTTCAGCTCAACAACCCCTCCCCATGAGTAAATTTTACTTCAGATGGCTGACCATACCACACTAAAAAACCTTCCGACGCCCCTGCAACGCTTGCAAAACGCACCCAGACCCACGAAAAAAAGCCCGCCGGAACCGGTCCGGTTGGTGCGGCCATGGCCGCACCAACTCTTTGGCCACCAGCGGGTGTTTTCTGCTGAGGAGGCGATGTACACGTATGCCCTTATATAGCATGCACAAAGTATGAGAGGCAATGGTATGGCTAGAAAAATAAAAAACTGACTTTTAAGATCGTAAATCATCGTCCACACAATAAGCCTTGGTTCTCTGCCACAGCCGGCGTGCTGAACTCTTCAACCGTTGCATTTTAAGCAGTACGCAGCCTCTTGAGAGGACGTCAGCGGTAGTCATTCCCCTGTACAAGGGTAGGGGAGATGCCTCTGACCCGCTGAGCTACCGACCCATTTCCCTCCTTCATGGAGTCGGTGGTAAACTCTTCGAATCAATCATTAGTCGTCAGTTCTGCTTGTTTCTAGAGGTCAATAGCTTACTATCTCCGAGCTAGTTTGGCTTTCGGCGCCACCGATCAACTGTTGATCAGATCCGATGCCTCGCTACCACAGTTGCCGAAGCATTTGACGCCAAAGCACTGTGTGATGGGGTGTTTCTCGACCTCTCGAAGGCATTCGATCTAGCCAGTCATGCAGTCATTTTACATGCCCTTTCTGGCTGGTGCAGCGCGTCTGCTCGTGACTGGGTTCGGGACTTTATATCTGGTTGTGTCCTGCGCGTTCGTGTCGACGACACGGTTTCAATGCCTCATCCCTTATCTGCCGGAGTTCCCCAGGGTTCACATCTTGGTCCGCTTTTGTTCAACATGAGCATAGATTTCCTTGTCAGTGTACCCTGTACTGGTGGAATGACTCTACTTTGCTGACGATTCCAATCTTCTCTGCTGCTCGGTGCCTGGCGCGTCCAGAGCGATACACACTGCAGCCCTCCAATCTGATCTGGATCGCTGTCTGTCCTGGTCTGAGAGCGTCTCAGCTGTATTTAACCCCAGTAAATGTTACCACATGGTCTTTTCCCCCACCCCAGCTACTTCTGGGACCATTTCCATGCATGGTGTCAAGATCAAATGTGTCCCAAACCACCGTCATCTCGGTGTCCAATTATCATCCACTTTGAATTTTTCTGACCACATTGTTGCCTTTACGAATAAATTTCGTTCTCGTGTCTTTCTCCTTCGGAATAGGTCTCAGTTCCTCCCACCTTCCACTATCAGTATTTTATATAAGTGCTATGTCCGACCCCTCCTGGAGTATGCTGTGCCAATTTGGATGTATTCGTTGAATAGTAGTCTTGCCTCCATACTCAATAAGCGTCAAGCCACGGCTGCTAGGTCATACTTGTCCGGTGCTCGTCGTCGGCCAGATCGCCTGACTTCTAAGGAGGATCTTAATTCTCTTGCTTCGTGGGAATCTCTGGCATGGCGTCGTCAGATTTTAGCTTTAGTGTATTTCCATCATGTGTTTTACCACTTCCCCTCGGTTTTAATCCGGTATGATTTTTCTAGATCCTGCAGTAGTCGTCATCCATGTTATATCATCCTCCCATGCTCAGGTCCTTACATGCCTAAATCCTTTCTCTTTAAGGCTAGTGTTGCATGGAATACCGGTAGATTGCCAGAATCTCTCCGCCAACTGTCTTCCTCTCCTGCTTTTAAAACTTCGTTAAGAAACCATTATTCGGAGCGCAGGTTCTCTCTCAAAGGAATCCCTGATTAGCTCAGTTATTTCTTCTGTAGCCCAGTTACTCTTGTTTTAGTATCTTTCCAGTGTTCTATTAGCATCTCCAATCTAATCTAACCTATTGATTTTCTTCCTCTCCTTTGATTTAAATTCTCAGATTTTATTTGAGTTTTGTTCCTTCTATTTTTCATTATTATTCTATCGGTTTGGAGAGACTCCCATGATCCATTTACCTCTGGAGAATCCGTACATAAACAATACAATACAAATGCTAAACTCTATAGCATGTCGCTAGAAGGTGTTCCTGAGCAAACTCGCATAGCCAAGTCTGCTGTCCGGGAGGCTCATAGCAACAAGAAGAGCAGCACCGAAAGGATGTCTTCAACAGCGTCTCTCCCGACCTGCAGCGGTGCACGGAGCTTGCGGCGGAGAAGGGCGCATCCAACTGGCTAACCTGCCGCCCTTTGCCACGGTTTGGCTTTGCGCTCTCCAAGGCCGAGTTCCGGGATGCCCTGTCTGCGCAATGGCTGGCAGCCCAACAATCTCCCCACCAAGTGTGTGTGTGCGGGCAGCAGTTCACAGTCACCCATGCTCTGTCTTGTCCCAACGGCGGCTTTCCCAGCATTCGGCACGAGATCAGGGATGTGTTTGCAGAGTGTTTGGTGAAAGTCACTCATGCAGTGGAGATCGAGCCACATCTAGAGCCCCTTAGTGGAGAGCACCTTCAGCCACGCACCGCGGTGAGAGGCGACCAAGCTCGATTGGATGTGGTGGCAAATGGCGTGTACGGCGGTCGTTTTGAGCGTTCATTTTTGGATGTAAGGGTTTTCAACCCCTATGCTCGCTCCAATTCATCGTCGTCCATTGCCTCTGTCTACCGCAAACACGAGCAGGAGAAGCGCCGCTTATACGAAGCACATGTGCGAGAGGTGGAACATGCCTCCTTCATCCCTGTCGTCTACGCCACATCTGGTGGAGCAGGTCGAAGTGCTAATGCTTTGGTGAAGAGGATCGCAAGTCTCATGGCAGAGAAGAAGTTGCAGCCCTACTCACAAGTGATGGTTTGGCTGAGGTCGAAGATCAGCATCTCTCTCGTCAGAGCCTCTATCCAGTGCCTGCGCGGTTCAAGACGTCTTAGGGCACGCATCCATCTCAACCCAGACAATATTGGTCTGGAGGTGGTTGAGGCTCGGCTTTCCTCATAGACGGACTCATCTTCTTCTTTTGTGATCAGTGTGCAATTGAACTGTCTTTTTTCTTTTATCTGTTTATTCTTTTTACCAGGCGTGGCATCCCCTGGACTATAAAAATGGGTGCCTTATTATTTTTCTGTTTTTTCATCATGCATTCATCAAGAAGGATTATGTACCACGTGAAGAAAAAAATAAATAAATAAAATACGTGAGCTCTGAAAAAAAATACTCTATAGCTGCATTACTCACTGGCCGCGCAGATTCACATCTGTGAAATAGATGTCCGAAATAAACTTCTCCGCTCGTTCCAGAGTGGCCCTTTTGAATTTCATATTGACCTCAGGCAGCGGTTGACGGGCCGCGCTGGGCCCGGAGGTCTGCATTTTGCAAGGTATAATAATTATTTTTCTAAACAGACGACAAGCTCTTCGCGGAAGCCACGCGGCATCGATGGTCCAAACACCTCAATTTTCAAAACAGAACAGGTAGGTATACCTACGGTCAGTAGACCTCTCTCTACGGACTAAAGACTACAAAAAGCCTGCAGGTCTGCTGAAGCACAGTGTGGCGAGTCACCAAAAAAAGTAAAAACAGTCAAAGCATCAATCAAATCTGCCTCCACGTCCACGTGAACCGGTGACGCTACGCTTCAGCTTAGATACTAGTACTGGTCTTTGTACGGTACGGGTGGTCTGTCGGATGCACTGCACGACTGCACGTGACGTGAGTGCAAGATTCGAGTGCATTTACGTCATAGCAGAAATCGACAGAAAATTTCAACGAGATTTACCTGTGCGGTATCCGTGGATTCTGCACATAAACATGACTCGACTAAGTATTTCACCGGTAAAGCCCATCCTCACAGCGTGCCCGGCCCGTAGTAAACTACAGTACGGCTCAAACTCGGTCGTCTGTGATAAAATCGCACTTTACTTCTCAAGTTCTGTCAACATGGTCAAAACGACAAAAGGTCTCGAGATTCGTGTCTTTGCCATTACGTCATGGGCCGAGAGGAGAAAATATGGGCACGCTACGTGACGCTAGTCGCTACTGCAAATCGCCTGCAGATCCAAGCCCAAGTCCGATCTGTGCAGACTGCCTGTCTAGGCTAGCGCCAGTGAGTGCGCAAGCCGCCAGGCAAAAACGAATCATGACGGCATGGTTTGGTGTCGACGCTGTTTGGGCATGGCCGATCAAAAATAGCCGAAGAGGAGAGAGAGTCTTGACTATGGACCATAATAGTATGGTCGCTGGATGCTGAGCGAAGCAGTTGTCACCGTTGTTGTCATTGAAAACTCCAAAGCTGTCTGCAAATCTAACCTCGCGTGTGCTGTTGCCCAGTCGCTAGATGGAGGATAAAATGGACCGATGTCGGCCGATTCCAAGGCAGATCACTCCTTGGAAAAATAGGCAGAGTTTTACTTGCTCCCGTCGTTTGTCTGACTTTCATCCTTGTCGATATCCGGACCAGAGGACAGAGAATAGCTTGCAACTGTTCTCCGAAGTGTTTCCCAAAGCAGGAGCATCTTTATTTACCTATTGCCCAAGCGCTAAGCCCAGGAAGAGGCAAAGATACAACTCTCGCTAAGTTGGCGAAGCTGTGTTGAGCCACCACTTCGCTAGAACGCTACCTCCTACATACACCGCTAGATAGCAGGAGCATGGCGTCGGCGAAGTCCAAGTCGGGGTCAGGTTCGGAAACAGGTTCACCGAAGGAGATCGACGTCTACATCAAGCTATCGTCGGGCAAGGTCGTCCCGCTGAAGGTAAACGCCGCCACGACCATTGCCAGCGTGTGCGCCAAGATACGCGGCCACGAGTCGTCCGTGCCCAGCGCGCGCCTGGCCCTCAAGTACCAGGGAGAGATCCTGGCGAAAAGCAAGACAGTGGGCAAGTATGGCGTGTGCAAGGAAACCGTACTGCGCGTGGAGATCCTGGAGTCGAAACCGCTCAACATCTTCATCAAGCTGGAGGAGTCGTCACGCGTGGTCCC